TGCTAGGTAAGAAGTGAATTGAGTCATTTCTTAAACTCGAGATCCTATACTACAGCTCAGTTAATCAGTACTTCTTCGATTATAACTAAAATCATTGTGTGCAAATAAATGAAAAACACGTCCCTCAAGGTCTTACAAATCCCAATTCCACTCTAAACGTTGCACTTAGCCTATTCAACCAAGAAACCGTCCGAAAAAAAAACTAAATCCCGTTTGCCTGCTGATTCATGCCTAACCAATGATCAAGAACGATTTTTTGCTTTGTTTTCAGCTCAACCTTCATTCAGAACACGTCGCCAATGTCTACGCGACGATGTAGGTCGCACACAGCAGAGCCTTGTCCAGCTTAATGATTGTACTTTTTTTGTGTACGAAAACTCCTCCCAAAGAAGACAATCGATGATGATTGGCGCAGTTTTTCGCGTTCACGTGTCTTTTACGGTGAAAAAAAATAAGCGATTCCTGTGAGTCCCACGAGGCTTTAGACCGGATCTTACGTTTAATTACATTTATGTTCAAAAGTTGGTGCACATGCGATGTTTTATATAATAAGTACATTAAAAGAACTGTTCTAACTCTATAAGGGGTTAACAATAAGAGGATTTCAACTAGGTTTAAGGGACATTATTGGAAGGATATAATATTCCTTCTAAGGCAACTTCCAAATCTAGAATTATAATGAAATCTTAGACAAAAACACCATTTAGATAAAATTAGTTACGGAATAAGAAAGGAGATCGATTTAATGTCACGCGAAATCCTGGGTATCAAAGCGGTTACTCTAAATATATTTTAATTAAGCATGAAAGCGTTATGGCTACGAGATTGTTTGCGGAGAAAGGTGTATCTCAAATAAACCCGTCTTCCTTGTATAAACTTTAGCAGCACTGGAAGAAGAACGAGTTTAGTAGAGGGTAATGGTTTTTCTTGAACAAGGTGGGCTCTTGGATGACAAGATCTCTCATTGCTGTAAATCTGGCGCGTTCCACTCAATTCTACAATGAAGCCCCAGGTTGTTTTTTGTGCACAGGGGTTCTGGCAGTGGGCAAGAATTGCAAAGTAGATATCGATCGTTCAAGACTGAACGATCATCTCTTCCTCACACCATGTAACAAATCCTTCTACGAAATACCCTTTTGAACCATCCATTAGCCGCAGTCGTCGTCGTCGTCGAGCGCTGAGTACCTATGCCGATCGTCAAGTTTTTCTATGGCACCAATACGCATGCTGCACAGCAGATGCGCGGCGACGACGACGGTGATGGTGGTGGACGACGGGTGTATCGTATTGGATTGCGTTGCGTTCTAATGAAATTCGCCATCGAGCAGGTTTGCCGCTCAACAATGACATGGCGACTGCGCACATTTGTTCAAATGCATTTACTCACGAAAACATGTTTTAGCTCAAGCGCAACACCTGAAGCGTGTGATCATCATGGATGAAGCTTTCTTCAGCGTAATCTTACGCGAAACGCATGTATTATGCTACCACTATGACGTATTGCATGGATTTTGTATTGTATTTATCTTGTACATCAGCTCAGAGACACATCAGCATTCAAAAAACTACGGATTTTCTTTCAATCCGCATGACCGACAAATGTCCAGGGATTTTCAACAATGCGTTGCAGCGCTCTTGGACTTAGGCTCATTGACCACTGTACTGGTAGGTATTTAGGTCACAATTCATACTACGGAACAAAACTGCATGGAAACCAAGATTTTACTTGTCGCATTCGTATTGTTTGAGAATTTAGAGGTCATGCTGTATTGCTAGCTTGTATCGTTCCGAAAACGAGGCCTCTTAAGCAAGGATAATAGCAGTTTTAATGCAAGTTCCTGGAATAGCAGTTTAGCAATAACAACATTAGAAGCACTTTTAAAATAGGTTACGACAGAACACTTTGAGTACAATAACCGTTACTGCATTCCCAAGCTGAGTCCTATCTTCTGAACTGGAGGAGTTTTGCGCTGATACTATATCAAAAATGAAGTCAACTTTAATAAGGAAGATTTTTTTTCGGGCAATTTTCTTTAACCCGTTAACAGAAAGTTGGTGGACGGGAATGGAATTTAGTCTGGATAGATGCTTGATTTTGTAAATCTCCTTGACTTTTGGCCTTTGTCCCAGCT